GGTCCCTGAGTCACACAATCACAGCAGCATCACTGAAGCCTTTCATCTTTAATAAAATGATCAGCGTTCTGCTCTACCAGGTGTAACAATTAAGTTTAACATCCAGGCGTCCATGAAAACGGAATTTATTAAATTTAACGGAGATGAAGTTAGCAGGAAGTTAGCTCGCTAGCTTCCACCTAAGCATGATATAGCATGTTCTGACTGAGAGATTTCTGAAAGAATTCAAACGTACAGCTCTGCTATCACTTCCAACACAAATGAAGACAGAAAACTAAACAGCAGTGACGTTTGTTGGGTTACTGAAGTTGGGCTACCTGGTATATAATGATCATGTGCTACGTGATCGCTAGCGCGACAAAGTTATGTTAACATAACATAAACAGTGAAGCTGGAGGATGAACGCTAACTTTTTTCCACTCGATAAAAGTTAACGTGAGGGTTCCTGATGGTTAGGGACAAATGCAATCGCATAGCAGGATGCTGTAAACGGACCAAACGTCAGTCAGGAGAACAACTGAGATAATCCATCATTAGTCATTAATATACCGCAGCATGGGCTAGGCTGTAGTTACATCGTAAGGGTTTAAAAACTGAGCTTTAAAATGATGAGCGGTAATAAAAACCGAGAGAGGTCGACAGCGATCACTGACTGTTTTTAGGGGCTTGTTGAGATTAAATAGAACAAGATACAAAGCATTAAAACATGTTAAAAACACAACAACCTTCTTAAATGCAGACTACTTTGGGCCCGGAAGCAGAATTCGTCACGTCATCACTTAAAGACCGGATAGAAAATCTGTGGAGGCTGAAACTTCGAGATGAGCAGCAGCCAAGAAACCTCAATGATTTTGAGTTTCTGTAAAGAGGAGTGCATTAAAATCCCTCCTGAGATGTGTGCAACAAACGTCTTAACACTGGCTAGCAACAGTTTCAAACCAAGCACTAAGTCATGTTTTGCTTGGGCATCAAATACTTATTTCATTTAATGCATTTTTAATTTTATGTGTTTTTCTACATTGTTGCTTCTCTCCATTTAAAAGGAAGCTACCATAAGAGTTAGACATGTAGGACTGCTTTCATTTATTTGCACAATGTCACAAAATTATTCATGTCAGTCTCAGAGTAAAGCTAGCTAATGCATTTATTACTTCTAGGCTGGACGTATATGATTCATTATAATCTGGCAGCTCTAAAAACTCCTTTAGCTTAACCAGAAGCTGGAAACAGAGAGCACTGGGTCCCCATTAAACCCAGAATCAAATTTAAAATCCTTCTCCTCACATACAAAGTCTTGAATATCATAGCAGAGCCTTCGGCTTTCAGGTGCCTCTACTATGAAACCAGGTCCCAGTTTGGACTGGACAGAATCCAAAGTGCACAAGAGAGATGAAGAAGAGAGTGTAGGCAGGGTGGAGTGGCTGGAGATGAGTGTCAGGGAGGATTTGTGACAGAAGGAAAGCAGAAAGGTGAAAGGGAAGGTTTACAAGTGATGGTTTGGAGACAGTAGTACTGGGAATAAGACAGAAGGTCGATCTGGAGGTGGCAGATGTTACGGTCTGGAGTCTGCTTCTTGTATAGTGGTTTTCTACTCTGTGAGCATTTAAAGCACTCAATCACACAAGCACTTTCTGCTGTATCTATTATTGTACGATCTACTGTGCAAGATAAACACCTTGAGGCGGCTTTTCTTGTGATTTGGCACTATATAAATAAAGTTGAATTGAATTGTTTTCTACCCAACATTCATACTCTGATGGATGCATCGGGGAGCAACTTGAAGTTCGTACCTTGCCCAAGGATATTTGGCATATAGACAGGGATCAAACTACTGCGCTACAGCCATCCTGCCAGTGACCGGATGGACAGGATTATAAATGATCACATCACAAAGACAGCTTGAGTTAGGCCAGTGGTTCCCAAACTTTTTTTGCTAGGCCCCCCTTTGTTTCACAAGGAAAATGTTCGCACCCCCCCACCACGCAAACACATCCTCCAACCACACACGCCCATATTTTGCTCCATTGCTGTTTATTTCACACCTTAAACTTATTGTAAACAATTAAGCAGATAAAAGTAAACTGCAATAAATTACAGGTAGTAATAGAATAAACTACTAACTCTTTTACGCTACGTCCGCACCTACACGGGTGATTTTGAACACGCAGCTGTTTCGTCCACGTAGACGGCGTTTCGAATCACCGAAAACTGAGATTTTTAAAACTCCTTTTTTGCGTTTACGTGTGGACGAAGAATACAGACTTCGTCATGCAATGTCAAAGGTATGCGCCTTTATTCACGTCACGCTGTGGCCACGTTATTGTTTACATGAGATGAATTGCAGAATGATAGAGACGAAATGCTGTTAATCTGACTGTCTGCAGGTTTTACGCGCAGGTACTGTCCCTCCATTTACAAAGGCAGAGGCGTCACAGTGTCATTATTTTACATGTAGTTGTTTTTTGTCCTGTGTAATAATATTCAACATTGCTGTCAATACATTTTTAAAAAATGCCTCTCTGTGCAAAATGGGTTTAAAAACATAAACAGCTGTGAGATCCTGTTTGTCCGTGATTTGAACCGGGGAACAAATTGTGGCAGGATCAGCCTGATGTTATTTGTATCCCGCTGTAACTTTACTGTATAAAGAGCAAACATCTCCAAAATGTCAGGAGTAGTGAGTCATTACAAAAAGTGTTTGTGAACTAAAAATCAAGAATGTGGGATCCTGTTTGTCCGTGATCTGGAGAGCCCAGCGCTGCTCCCGACAGGGAAAACTAATTCTGTCACAGAGACCTACCTTGGCACATCTCCTGCTTTGCGTTTGTGTGGGAGCCCCGTCAAAAACCTGTCCATGATGCTAGCAGTGTCCAAGCGTTTGTTTTTTTTTGTTTGTTTGCTTTTTCACACCACGCCCCCCCTGCAATGGCTCTGCGCCCCCTAGGGGGCGGGCCCCACACTTTGGGAACCTCTGAGTTAGGCAGTTTGGAGACAAAGTTAGAGAGACAAGGTGGAGATGGTTTGGAGATGTGCAGAGGAAGGACACTGGAAATACTGGACAAAGGATGCCAGGCAGGAGGAAAAGAGGAAGCTGAGAGAAGATTCATGGATGTAGCGAAGCAGACGTCTGTGACGATAGAGTGAGGCAAATGATCCTCTGTGGCGAGCCCCGAAGAGAGCAGCTGGAAGAAGAACGCTATTCTCTCGGTCTCACACACACACACACACTCACTCACACACACACACACACACACACACACACACACACACACACACACACACACACTGGGAGATTGCTATCATCGTGACTGTGGCAGCCGAGCCACATTCAGCACAGACGCACAAACGCATCCTCATTAGCTTGTAGAAGTGTGTGTGTGTGTGTGTGTGTGTGTGTGTGTGTGTGTGTGTGTGTGTATTTGATAATTACAATAAAAAAAAAACTTTTTTCCCCTGACAAACATTATTGGATGTATGTAGATTTTGCTTCAAGACCTCATAAAGTATCTGAAAATGTCATTAATGGTCTCCAGTAACACAAGCAAACAAGGAATGAATTTGTTTTATACGCTGTGCAAAGGCTGACTCAAAATTGCGTGTGTGTGTGTGTGTGTGTGTGTGTGTGTGTGTGTGTGTGTGTGTGTGTGTGTGTGTGTGTGTGTGTGTGTGTGTGTGTGTGGCTTTGTTTGATTGCTGTTGAAACACCAAAGATCAAACTCAGTCGGAGATGAAAGTGCTCATCTCTCAGCCTGATGTTAGTCATCTGTATCCAGATTCATGAAATGCTTCTCACAGCTCAGGTCCAGAATAAAAGGACACATTTTGCTTGACGTTGAACAGATTTACTAATAAAGCAGCCGGTGTTTAGCTATTATAAATATTAATAAGTTATAATGGGCTATAGTAAGTATTGTGCTGCTAAATGCTGCCTCCTCATGGCCAAAGGTGCAATTTTGAGTCAGCCTTTGCACAGCGTATAAAACAAATTCATTCCTTGTTTGCTTGTGTTACTGGAGACCATTAATCACATTTTCAGATACTTTATGAGGTCTTGAAGCAAAATCTACATACATCCAATAATGTTTGTCAGGGAAAAAAAGTTTTTTTTTTTTTATTGTAATTATCAAATATTAAATGCTTTTAAAGAGGCAGGAAAAAACTAACTGGTCAAATGCAGCATAGCTGAGCATGAGCTGTGTTTCACGCTCCACACCTGTTCTTTGTATAATTATTTAATTTTCACTGAGCTGAAAAACAGTCTGTGTGTTAGCTGGAAGTGCAAAAGAAAATCGATAGTCATAATATTTGTCAGGTAAATGTAAAAGAATGGTCCAACCACACAAACACAGTCAGAAGGTCCAGCTTAGACACTCTGGTCATGTTTGTGCATTTAAGATTTACAGGTATTCAATTCAGTTTTATTTACACAGCGCCAAATCACAACAACAGTCGCCACAAGGTGCTTTATAATGTAAGGTAAACCCTACAATAATAGATACAGAGAAAAACCCAACAATCATGTGACCCCCTATGAGCAAGCACTTTGGCGACAGTGGGAAGGAAAATCTCCCTTTTAACAGGAAGAAACCTCCGGCAGAACCAGGCTCAGGGAGGGGCGGGGCCATCTGCTGCGACCGGTTGGGGAGAGAACAAATGCTCTCAAAGGTTGGGGAGAGGTTGAGAGGTATTGAAATAGATACAGTAAGTTAGTCATTGTTATAACGTATCTTCTGCAGAGCCGTTTGAAGGCAGAGAAGTGTAAAAATGGAACTGTTTTGCCCATTTTTCAAATCTCACATAGACTCATTGTAACATTGTAACGTGTCTTTTATCCTTATCCATGATGTTTATTTATTCTTTATCTGTAACTGATAAAGTTTAGGTTCTTTTGCAGGTTGAAATTTATATAAGTGTAGGTCAGCATCAGCCGTAGAAATCCTGTGTGTCATGAGCGCTCCTGCAGGCTGGTTAATTACAGTAACTGGTGCTTTGTTGTGCAGGAGAACCCAGAGCGTGGGCCACGAACCCCTGAGGAGACAAGGCTCTTCCACCACCAGCCGGCCCCCTCAGCCCCTCTCCGCCCAGGCCATCAAACACATCTGGGTCCGCACGGCTCTCTTCGAGAAAGTTCTGGACAAGATTGTGCAGTACATTGTGGACAACTGCAGGTGAGTTTGTTTTACTGTCTGGTGTTGCACTGTGGTGACTCACAGCAACCTACTCCAGGCTTTGTTGTACCTGAATAAATGATCTATTTATGCGGCCCATTCTTCTCCTGTGTTTGCTTTGTTCTGCGTTCTGTCTGGCTAACAACCACTGTGTGTTTCGACAAGCTGTCCACACACTGCAATTCACTGATCAAAGCTTCAGACATGAAGTGCACTGATGGGGTTCACAAACATGGCAACGGTTATCAGACAACCCTAAACAAGACTTGTGCGGTTTTGCTGTTGTATAGTTCCTGTTAAAAGCTGGGCAAATATTGTAAAGTCGGCGTTGTGTTCAGACAGCTGCAGCGGAGGTGATCTAATCTGATGTAAGACGCCCACGGTGAATGTCAAGGCCTCAGAAGTCCGTCAGAAGTAAAGAGCATCAAACAGCAACCTTAGTAAACCTTTATTCTGGCCTTTGTTGTGAAGCCTGCAGACCTCAGTGCTCTTCTCACTGTGCTTACAGGTTTCACTGGGCCTAACATCACACATACTGGGAAACAATATTGTTTCAGACGCGATGAGTGTTGGGGGTTTAGCTGTATAGGACATCCTAGCTGCTGATGCGTAAACTTATTATCCTTCCTCGTCCTTATTGGGAGGGAAGTAGAGATTTTTAATTTAACGCTGGTGTTGGATCAGCTCTCAGTATTGACAGATGCCTGAAGCCAGGGTATATTTATTTTATCGGGGATGCATCCTTAATGCACAGGCATATCTTCAACCTTTGAGAAATCACAGCACTTGGAAATAATGTGCGCGTGAATCAGCCGTCCAACCTTAACCGTCACGGTGAAGCACTCGGCCAGCGCTAATACACAGAAACGAGCCCATCAGTGATTCTTCTACTCACTCGGTCCTCTGGGTGTGCTGCTGCATTCATCATGTGCATAAAGTGTCACTGCAGCTTCTATACACTTACAGCAATCACACTGTTGAGTCAAGTGAAGGGGATAATGGGGGTGATCTCCTACACTTGGAGTATTTGATCACTTTTAAAGATGAACTGAGCAAACAATTGGTGCTTTGTCCATTTATGCTGTTTGATATTATCTTGGGTTTGCCAGACTTTTCTCTGACCTGCTCCCTGCCACATCCTGCGATCTGTTACGCCCCCTGTACGTCTACCTGTGCATTAGGCGGTGGCTCTAACCTGATGTTGAAATGCTTATCCTTAAATGTAGTCTTAATTTGTAATGAAGGTGGTGAGCTCAGATTGTATCTGTGGCAAAACCATTTCTGCTGCATGTTCTCTGCCACGCTCCTCGGGTGAAGTAGAACTCACTGTGTCATCCTGGAGGACAGAGTCATGGTGAACTCCCACAGAAACTACTGGGAACTGCTCACTCAGAGCGCTCTGTGGAAGTTTGGTGTTATTCAAATACAAGGTCACATTGTAGCTATTCAGCACGAGTTACCACGGTGATTTACACTGGAGCCAGCCAGAAACCACATCTTCTTAACCCATGTGATGGATCTGTGATGTAATGCAGCCACTACATATGAGTGAGGGGTGGTGATGTAATCAGGCAGGTGTGTCATCTGAGTTTCTAGCATGCGTTGCTGAATCCTTGCCTGTTCTTGGATAGTTGACAGATCATACTTTAACCTTTAACCTGCGCTCATCACCTCCAAACTGATCATATCTAGTGACGTGTTTCTTTCTTCTCTGTGTTTCTGACGGCAGTAAATACTATGAGAGGGAAGCTCTGATGCATGACTCAGTCTTTGGGCCCATCTTGGCAGCCCTACTAGGTGAGTATGTTAATGTATTTAATCACCAGAGGCCAGTAAAAAAGCATGCACAGCTGATCATCCAGGTGATTGTTCATATATTCATTTAAATTTGCAAACAAATACACAAGACAGCATTTTCATAACTGTTTGGAATTGGACAGCAGGCAGAGACTCGGAATCAGAGACACCGGGCAGTCAGACAGGAACAGGAAGCAAACAGCTTTGCCAGCTTGAGCAAACTAGAAAAAGTTAACTGCGAGACAGACTGGTGAAGAGAAAATAAACACTTTATCATCTCTGACTAAAGAGGGAGTTCGGGACACTGATGAGGCAGATAATGAGTGCTGATGAGGGGCGGAGCAGAGTATAGTCATGAACAGCTGGGACAGAGACGCACATTAATGTGTCCAAACACCTGCTGCATATTTGCTCCGCGCTGACAGAAAGAAAGAACTGAAACCATTTATGTAATGTATATGCATTCATATGGCACTTTTCTAGTCTGACCATTTAAAGTTCTTTAGACTGCTGCAAGCCATATTTTTGGTGTTATTGTACCATTGATATTATTAGATTACTGATATGTAAAAGAAAAAAAAGTCCCGTACACAGGTATAAATACTGTTTGTCCACACAGGCTTTACTTGGAATGCAGCACAGGTGCATTTGGAAACTTACAGAATTTTCCGTACTATAAGGCGCACTTAAAATCCTTTAATTTTCTCAAAAATCGACAGTGCGCCTTATAATCCGGTGCATCTTATGTATGAATTCTGGTTGTGCTTAATAATAATAATAATGGATTGCATTTATATAGCGCTTTTCAAGGCACCCAAAACGCTTTACAAAGCCACTATTCATTCACTCTCGCATTCACGCACTGGTGGAGGCAGCTACAGTTGTAGCCACAGCTGCCCTGGGGCACTGACAGTCTGCATTAGCATTAGCTACACAGCTATGTTAGCATAGCATAAATACAGTGAAGCAGGAGGATGAACGCTAACTTTTTTCCACTCGTTAACGTGAGGGTTCCTGATGGTTAGAGACAAATACAGTCGCATGGCAGGATGCTGTAAACGGACCAAACGTCAGTCAGGAGAACAACTGAGATAATCCATCCACAATACGAGGTTAGTCATTAATATACTGCAACAACATGGGAACAGAGCAGCTGTGATAGAATACAGCATTAATGAATCAATGGTACAGAAGTGGAGGAAGCAAGAAGAATGAGTTGAATAAAGTTTGACTTATCTGACTGCTTTGTTTCGCTTAATGAGCCTTATGGTCCGAAAAATACGGTACATTTGTGCCACACTGTTTTATCTACTAAGGTTGCCGGTTCGAGCCCCGGCTTGGACAGTCTCGGTCGTTGTGTCCTTGGGCAAGACACTTCACCCGTTGCCTACTGGTGGTGGTCAGAGGGCCCGGTGGCGCCAGTGTCCGGCAGCCTCGCCTCTGTCAGTGCGCCCCAGGGTGGCTGTGGCTACAATGTAGCTGCCATCACCAGTGTGTGAACGTGTGTGTGAATGGGTGGATGTCTGGTTGTGTAAAGTGCTTTGGGGTCCTTAGGGACTAGAAAAGCACTATACAAATACAGGCCATTTTACTAGTGAACCATTGTGATGACCTGGTGAAATATGCAGGGTCGAGCCCATCTCTCACTACATGCCAGCCCTGATTTACTTTGGACAGGAGGACAGGATTATACAATATTGTTAGCAATGAAGAATCCTCTCTAATATTGTTATTTGATCAAAATTCAATCAAGAATTCGAATACGTGCACACAGGAGCATGTCGTAGATACGCTGCAGGTTTTCCATCACATATACAGAAATGAGCAACATCAAATGTTTGCTTAAAGACCGTGTATGTGTGTGCTGTCTTTTTAGTGGGGCCGTGTGCTCTGGAGTACACGAAGCTGAAGACTTCGGATCATTTCTGGACAGACCCCTCAGCCAATGAGCTGGTTCAGCGCCATCGTATTCACGGGGCCCACCGCGGCCAGGACGTCTTAGCCGGCCACCGGCCTGCTCTGGGGGTTAGTACGGGGCATCCTCAGGAGGTGTTGTTCTAAGGATAGATCATCGGCGTGTGTAGGATTGGTTTTCTCGTAGGAGTCGTTCGTTGTATAAACTGGCTGTTTGCTTCTTTTCTAGATCCGCAAAAGGCAGTCGAGCGGCAGCATGTCAGAGGACAGGTTTGCTGCATCAGCGAGGGAGTATGTGGAGTCTCTTCACCAAAACTCCAGAACGCACCTGCTCTATGGCAAAAATAATGTCCTTGTGCAACCGGTACATCTCACTGACACACAGTAACTTTGCTGTTTTTGTCCCATCATCCTCTGGAGTGCTTTCAGTTCCTCCACAGTCTCACAGCCCAGACATATAGTGACAATACTTGTACTTTGGTAAAGGGTCATATCTCAGTCCAGTCTCATATTGGATCCTACAGTTTTTCAAACAAGCCGCTGAGAGTGTGTCTTCACTTTGACCAAACTTTACATCCATCAAAAAAACCATAAAAACTTGATTTGTTGTGTTTTCTTTTGATTTATCCAAGCAGAAAGTTTGGATATATTCCTTTCTATTACTAGGACAAAGTCTGCTGCGTTATGGACTTTTTCTCTGCAGCACTGATTTTGTGTTGCACAGCTAATTCTGTCACACAGCAGTGTGCAACACAAGAAGACACTATGTCAAATATTGCAACATTATCAGCAAGTAATATCTGCTAACACAGCACGACAGCTAGACTTTATGCTGCACGCTCACATGGAGCCTTGAAAACAAGTAAGAACCACATATCAGCAGCTTAATTAGACTCAAGTGCTGATGAAACGGGTGAAAAGAGATAAAGAAATAAATATAAGGCACAGGATGTGCTCATTTCAGTATGTTTCATCAAGTTTTAAAGTCAGTCTGTTCTGCTCTAATATAAAATCAGATGATTCAGCTCATGTTGGCTGAGTAAAGAACAAAGCAGTGACGGAAACAGCAGCTCTGGATGATCCGCGGCTATTTCCAGTCGTGTGACAGCGAGCTGTGTGTATCAGATGCATTTCACTACATTAGTGTGCGGCTGACGAATATAAGCAAGAGGAGGGGAAACGCAAATGTAAGGATGTAACACTTTAATGTCCCACGAGAAATCAATCGTAACAGTTGAGGAACGATAATGAAAAATACTCTGATTCTTTGTAAATCACAGTTACAGTTACAATGTTTCAAGACATGCTGAGCAGTTTCAGTCCCCCATACTGCTTTTATTTCTTACACTAAGCTGTGTTTCATACATTCAATCGTACAAACACAGACAGTCTTAGAGCAGAATAAAATGAACTATGTCTATAGTGTGTGTGAGATATAATGTGACAGCTTAGAGCTTAGCTTTCTGAAAAAATCTTGGCATAAACTTTGATAAAGGTTGAAACTTTGTGTAGCTGTCAAAGGTTGCAGGGCTGTGTAGGCCCCGAAGCTGCTGCTTTTTAGAATAGCAGCAGTAATCCTTGGAAGCCTACACACTGTACGTGCAGCGCCCACTCAGCTTGTCCTGCAGGCAGAGAGGACCCTAACGCAGGCCCCACAGGCTGACAGGATAAACAAAAGCAAACCTTTATTTAGGCAAAGTCCAGAAAGTCAGTATCCATAAAAAGAAACGGCAAACTAATCCTTCAACTGACAGCGAGCGCACCGGGAAACCACAGGACAGAGGGAGGAATAAGTCGTACACACACATGCAATCAAGGGAGGTAAAGCTGAATCCAAGATAAATGGGACCAAAAAAGACCGGGTATAGAGGGGAGGAAGACTACATTTCAAATTCAAACCATAAAGAAACCAAACAGGAAACAGCTGTTATAAGAAAAACTCAAATCACAAGAATCCCAAAAAAACCCCCAAAACTCGCGTTGAAACCCTGAAGGTCCATCACCGAGCTGCTAAAAGCACAAGTAGTAGAACTGTGCTGCACAGTAGTGTGTGTGAGATCTCTGAAATCACATCTTGCTTCTGCCTGCGTTGCTCCAGCACATTTGGCCCTGAGCACGTATGCCTCCCAAGATGCCTTTCTCCGAGCCCCGCTGACAGACATGCAGAGAAGTACAGCACTCGCTGCACTGGTGTGCAAGAGCAGCTCTTTCATCGTGAGCTACCGATCGGCAATGACGTGAAAACCACAACAAGTGAAGCGACCTTGTTACAATGTGAGGGATGTGGATGTTACTCTGACATGTGACACCCACATGAACTCAGCCTGGTATCGTCCACATTTCTGATGATTGAAATTCCATCTACTGAACTGCGAACAGGACTGAAAATGTGTTAGCAAAGGGATCCTGGAATCGCAACTGAACATTAGCGCAGTTTGTTGGTCTAGGAGATACTTGAAGGCACACGAGTACTTCACAGAGATCACGAGGATAAATTCAGGCTTTTGATGTGGCTTAAATATAATTTTTAAACCTGGACCGTGTGACATCATCACACTTCCAACAAATTAGATTCAGAAAAGTGTGATGAGTAGATGACAATAAGAAAATAAAAGCTAGAGAAAGTCTGTGGGAATAAATGTCAGAGTTGGGCAATAAACAGTTTCCTTAGTTTAATAAATCAGAAACATGAATCAGTGGCTGATGAGCTCATCTTACTAACACCAGATTATCAGGGTGTGTTAAATAAATGCTGGGATCATAGAGCACACAGAGCTCAAAGCAGTTTCTGGTGCTGTGTGAAAAAAGTTTAATGCAAAAAACATCCTCGTAACTGCAGAATTAAGTTTTTATGTTGTCGACATCAGTGTGTACAGCGCAGACGCATTATGGTTTCTCTCTGCAGCTGATCACGTTCAGCAGTGCTGTGACCTCCACAGTAGTGCTGAGGAAAAGCATCTCATGTCACACGTTGAGTAAAAGCGCTTTCTTCATCTTGGTGCTAACAATGTTCCATCTCCTCCTCTCCGCTTTACGTGGCAGAAGAAGGACATGGAGGTTTTACGGGGTTACTTGTCTCTCCATCAAGCGGGGGATAATCTCACGCTGAAGTGGACACCCAATCAGCTCATCAATGGCACACTGGGAGACTGCGACCTGGAGAAGAGGTAGCCCGAGTGTACGAACACGTGAGCTAGCGTCTCAGAAATGAACAGTTTGAATGCATCAGATAAAGTCTGCTTGATACAAAAACAAATGTAGTAAAGAAATGCAGATGTGCGCACACACACGTTTGGCACGTCGCAGGCGGATTGTCGTGTCATGATTTTGTTGTAACAGACACACCTGAAGCAAACCTACAATATTCAGGTGTCACAGAAAGTGTTTCAGGAGGTTGTGCTGGTGTTGTTATTGGCTCACAGGTGAGTGAGAGCCTCGGCTTTGATAAATACCTGCGGCATGCATTTACAAACACACTGGTCAAGATCAGTTGGTAAATGATGTCTCGTGTTCTTCTTCACACGGCCGAGGGGCCACCCTGAGCTTATACACAGAGCTCTGCTTCACATGACAGAACTGTTTTAGTAAATGGATAGATGCTGCTCTCTGTGGGAGACCTTCCAGAGATCAGTTTCACAGGAAACCTCATGACTGATTCATGTCTCGCTGATCTAAATTATCTTTCTACTTTCAGGGAGAAATACTAGATAGGTAGATATAGATATATATAGTTGTGCATCATCTATCTATGTATATATCTATGTATTAACAGATTAACCTAATATGTCTGCTCTCTGTTTTTGGACTGCATTTGCTATGATTGGGTCTACATGTGTGTTCCTGGGTTCATGCATTGTTTGTGGATCATCAGCAGATCGTTGTACTCCCGTCACTCTTATGTTACTAATCCAACACACGTGCTTCTCCTTTAGTATCTACTGGGATTACGCACTCACTGTTCCTCTGCGCCAGATAGTATGCATCCACTGTCACCAACGCTGTGAGTATACTGCTGCATTCAGTCCCACACACACACACACACACACACACACACACACACACACACACACACACACACACAGTCTGTCACGTCAAATTTAGATCATGTCATGAAGAATCTGTTTCATGATGTCACTGATCATGACAAAGTATACACAGAGAATCCCTCTCCTCCTTTTCCTCCTTTTCCATTTCTTACATGCACAAACCTTCAGTTTCTTTTTACAGTATCACAGTTTATGTCTTGTCCACTATTAGAAGACAGTATTTGATCCACTTTGTTCTTTTCTTTGCCTGTTCATATTCCAGCTGACTGTGGGGGACACTGGTTCTGGTCAGTCAGGATGGGATCCAGCGGCCACCCCTGCACTTTCCCCCTGGTGGTCACCTGCTGGCCTTTCTCTCCTGTCTAGAAACGGGCCTGTTACCACGGGGCCAGTTGGAGCCGCCTCTCTGGTCCCAAAAAGGAAAGGTAATAGCATGATTCAGGTAACAAATGAAGATCATAAAACACTAAAATAAAATAAAGCACAGTGAAGTGCTGTCAGACTGTAGTTATAGGACCTACAACCTACAGAGTGAATCTAACTTTGAGACAAGACCAAAAACTCAGAGTTGAAACTTTGTGCAGGTGATGAGATGATGCTGTGACCAATAAACAGTTTTTACATCCAGCACTTATATTTTGAGGCTCCTTAGACTGCTGATGTCATGAAATGGTATCAATACATAAAGCCCGATACAGCAGATATGTGTAGAATCGAAACCTCTAAACTGTGAAGGAATCTCAAAATTTTATATTTAACTAAAGTTCGTCACCATCAACATAAAAACTCAGCTGCCCTGCGTCAAAAAGTAGTCCCCCCTCAAACCTAATAACTGGTTCTCCACCCTTAGCAGCAACAACTGCAATCAAGTATGTGACAGAACTTTACTGCTTCACAAAGAAGAGCAGCTTTGGACTTTTATTCCTTAATAAATGAAATCACTACATGTTGTATTTACTCGGGTTGAAACGGTGGGACAAACGTGCAAGAAGCCCAGGACTTAGACTGCTCCAGATTCGATTTTTCTGTCTACTCGTGGCTCTTTTACATCAGTGATATCTATAATATGAGCACAACCCCCCTAACCCCACCTGCAAGTCAGATGGCACGTTTGTAAAACCAGCCAATCAGAAGAATGGTGGCATAGTCAGTTAAAACAGCTGTTTTAGACAACAGATGAACCAAAGGTCTTAACCCAGGCGGCTCAGTGTTGGAGAATCCCACAAAGCTCATTTAAGAGCGTCCCATTAAACCTGTTTAAGTTGTGTCTTTGACCTGCATCACATGCTAAACCTGTCCTACAGGGTAAAGTATTCCCTAAACTGAGGAAGAGGAGTAGTGCCGCCAGGCTTATCGACCAGGAAGCCAACGGCGAGGAGCAGTCGGCCGCCGACTACGTGTTTCGCATCGTCTACCCTGGATATCGATACGAAGCCAGTAAGTAACAGCGCAGGCGCCCACGAGACAGACGTAGCTGCTCGTAACCAAAACGAACCTTGTTTTGTGGCGAACACTAATCTGATTAACGGCTACATGAATGTGTTTGTAAAGCACCCTGGTTTCTTTCCCACAATACTCTTGCAGAGCCATGCAGGGCACCGCTTTTCTAACTTTGTTCTCTGTTGTCCCACCGGTGCTAACAGTCACTATAAACTACCACCACACCACGGGCAGCCGCGCGCCATCGCTGGATGATGACGAGGAAGAGGAAGATAGGCTCCATGCTATGATCTCAATGATCTGCTCGCGGAACCTCACAGACCCTAATGTCATGAAAGGTTTTTATCACCTTAACACACCTACCCGACCCTGCTGCCCCACCCTCACCAAACCCTGCTGCCCACCCCGAGACCTCACCTCCGCTTCTCCTGCTCTTTCTTGCCTCCCATTATGTTGTCTCAGGCCCTCTCCCCTCCACCTCCCAACCCACCCGTTCCAGCTTCGTCTGCCTGTGTATGTTCTCCCGACTCCGAGCCCAACAGTGTAGCATGGGCTAGGGATGGTTGTGTTAGCAACTAAACAAAACCAGCGAGCAGCGCTTAGAGCATTAACACATTTATGTGAGATCACGGTAGGATCGTCAGCAGTACACTGCACCATAGACGTGGACGAGGGAGTTTCTCAATGGAAATCGCCACAGATTAACAAATAGATGGAAGAATCTTTTGGTTTGTCTTGTGTTGATGATGAGTTCTGGTTGGTGGAAGCTGCAGACTTAAATATGATTTTCATTTAGGCCGCAACATCGTCTCAAACAAGCTAAAGGTCTTCTACTGCCTCCATCGAGGTTCTGGTTGAGTGCACTAATCAATATTTCATATGCATCATGTAAAATGAAAGGTGTGCTTATCATTTCCAGCCTACAGAAAATTAGCCCCACATTAGAACCATGAACAGAACTCTTCAGACTCGTCTAAGTAAGAGGCTTTTGTTGTTGTTTGCTCTTGTACGAAACACTAAATTCTTCCTTCATTGACTTTGTGTCCAGCTGCACCACATGAGTTAGTAGCTTCTGGGTAGTAGCTCCTTCTCTCACCCCACCAATCACAGCAGATGGCCCCGCCCCTCCCTGAGCCTGGTTCTGCCGGAGGTTTCTTCCTGTTAAAAGGGAGTTTTTCCTTCCCACTGTCGCCAAAGTGCTGCTCATAGGGGTCATATGATTGTTGGGATTTCTCTGTATCTATGAAGCGCCTTGAGGCGACTTTTGTTGTGATTTGGCGCTATATAAATAAAATTGAATTGGATTGAATTGGGAGTTTTTAGGGCACTGTGTCAGAAAAAGAAGAAAAGTACCTTCCAAAAATGTGCACCTGTTTGCAGTTAGCCTGTTGGTTATTTGGTCCAGAGTTTGTGTAGCTGACTGACCGTAGTGACTGCCTCATGACACATCCATTAGACAATGGTAGCATATCCACTACACAACCCAATAAAAGCTCGCTAACGTCCCTCAGAGTGACAGCTCGAACTCAGCTGCTGTGGCTTCTTTGCTGCAGCTGAGCCGTCAGCAGGGTTATGAAGCACTGCTAAGTTGTAGGTATTCATCAAAATGTGAAGCAGCTAATGTTCGTAATGTAACTATGTTACAAGTACTCTGACACGCTTCTTTGTTAAAAAGTTTAAAAATGCTACATTGTAAAATGTCTTGAAACAAAACAGAGTGTCAGTGATTTTGTTGTGGTCAAACCATTTTCCCCAGTAAACATTCAGACGTGGCTGCCCTGCTGGTAATATGGTGAGGTAACACACGAAGGATTTTTCAGTTAAACAGACTTTTTTAACTTGTGTAAGCAAAATGAGAATAAAAGAGTAATTTAAAAATTGCTATGACAACACAGTTTCTGGGGAGCTCCGCACAGTGAGCAGCTCAGGGCTTTTTTAGGATACTTGTAGAGTCGGATACAGCAGCATCTCAGCTTATCTCAGGTTATCTGTTCAAACCACAGCATTCACTTCTAAATAGTGAAAGTAGTTTCTGTTCTAGCTGGAAGTTGGACGTTAAGAACACGCTGCGGTCACGCGTCTGGTTAATACTGCAGCAGCCGATACACCCTCTCCCCGCCGCCTTCTGTTCCTGATTTCACTCTTTCTGTTTTCTCTCCATCTTTCCAGCGCTCAGTGACACAGATAATCCACTTCTTACACAAACCTGTGAAAGACAGGAAAACGCGCTGTCTGATGAGCAGGACTTGTTTTATAGTCACTGCAAATGTCTTTCAGCAGGTTTCAACACAGATCCAAACTTTCCCAGGTGTCCTCGCCTAGCCTAGGGGCTGCTTTGCATTCTGGGATGCTCCTTAGAGTTAAAAAAAAGGGTTTATCTGTTGAAGCATGCCCGAGTCCTGTTGGTTTCTCTGTCGTGGCTCTTCTTTTTGCACTCTGTTTCCTTTTGGCTCTTTCTTTTGTCACTTGCGACATGCTGACAGTGTTTGCATGTCTGCGCCTGTTTGCTTTTAGAGAACGACGTGTGTTTCTGCATATCTGTGATGGACTTTCTCACAGTCTCCTCTGTTGTTTTTGATTCTCTCTCCTCTCCAGTTTCTTCTTCTCTGTTCGTGCAGTCATTCGCTGCAATGCTGTTCACTGTAATTCTTCACTAACCCCACCACCCACCCTCCCCTCCCCCGTCCTCCACCCCTCTCATTATGGTCCTGTGGGGTTCCGCAGTAGTTGAGACGTGGAGTCCTGGTGTGAGCGGGTTGCGTTACTGAGCCCAAAACCAGTTGTCGATCACGTCTAGTCCCAAGTAAATCAGGAGGGGCCGATGTCCGTCTTGCTCCGGCACAATTTCTCTTTGCTTTTTTGCTTTTTCCGTTTCTGAAACTGACTTTTTATGGGGGGGTTATCGAACGACCAAAAGCACGGCTTTCATATTCATGACAGTCATCAGCTCCAACCTGAAGAATTAAGTGAAGAGCATTTGTTAATGTTTTCTGATTTCTTCCCTCCCCTGTGTGTGCCCTGTTCCTGGTGTCCATTTGTTTTGGTTGTTTCGAGAGGATTCTTTTGACGTCCTTGTCTTGTTTAGCATCCTGCACGGCCTGAGCGTGAGCCTCGCCCTCTCTACTGTCATTCCTCCTGTCTTCTGCTCTCCCGTTCATCTGGAGCATCGTCCCGAGCTCCGCTGTCTCTCTTGCCTCCTCTCTGAATGAACTGAACCGGCTCCTCTCAGCCTGTTTGTCCCACGGCACTGTTCCCGCTTCCCAAAACCATCCCCTTCCACTTTTGGTTTCCTTTGTTTTTCCGAGCTCTCATATTTAACACGAGTCTAAAACTCTCCATCTCCTCATTTCTTAATATTGTGATGATGTATTTATGGTTGAGCTGAGGACTAATGTCATAATATGTAAGGCTTAGCCTTCACAGTAGGAGAGGCGTGTCGGAAAGAAAAGTGTCTCGAGCACTGAAAACCTCTCTGTCTTCTCGTTTCCTTCTCTGGCTTAGACCACGGGGACATGATGGACACGCAGGGCTTTGGAGGCAGCCCGTCGTCATGGCAACAGGCTGAAGTCACCACTCACGAGTCCCTGTGCCAGTCCTGCTCCACCTGGCAGCAACCTGTCCTTTGACTACGCGTCTGGCTGTACCTGCATACACGACCCGTCAGATATTCACACGTATGCATCAAAGCAGAAGCTGCACTCGATTTGTTTAAGCTACCTGCAGCGTTGCATTAGCTTACAGGAGTTGTATAGACATTGTATAGATTTGAGAAAATCACATCTTGTAAATGTAAGAAAACATTGAATTTAACCAAAGTTTCTAATTCTATAGTTAAATATTGTTGTATTTAAGAGCCACGTGAAACCAGTACACATCAAGAGTAAAAGAGATGTTTAAATATTAAAATATTCTTGAAGCCTTTATTTATTTAGTGTTGATGTGATGCCACACTGAAGATATACACAGTGTACATGAGGTAGGACGAACGGGCCAAGAGCAGAGCTTTACTGTCTGTGGAAATAATCAGCTGAACACACAGAAAAGTACCAGCGATTTGAGACGGCCGTGGCTTCTTAGCTGTAACACAGTGAGAGATTGTACTGAACGGGGATCTTCACAGGTTATCTGTGCACTGAGAAACCACAGGCACGCACAGATCGATGAGACGGATCCATCTTCTGGAAACGTGTGACGATAACAAATGATTTCTTTTGTTTTCTCCAGTATTCCTCTGAAGATGCTCTGCCAGAACATGAAGCGGCAGATAGTCTCCAGAGCCTTCTATGGATGTAAGCACACTTTATTCTTGCGCTTTGTTTCCAGTGTGATCTGTGGCCAGAGCCTCGTATCGTATGTTCCACCTGGACTTTACGGAGATTTCAGTGAAATTACAGTGATCTTAAATGAACAGTTTCATATATTCAGTATGTTTGTGATGTAATGAAGAATTCATAAATACCGCCTGTAACAAATACGAGATTAGATTTAGTGTCACACATAATAAGTTGATTTATTGCAGCAGTGTGAGAACCTGCTGACCTGTGCGACCCTTTGAGTTACCTGAACTAATTCTGCGCTTGCTTTTTGTCCTTATGCACCATCTGCATCTCTTATGTAATAAATCTGATGTGGTTACATATTCTTTTACATATTTTTCTATATATTCTTCGAGGGTTTCGTTTGTTTCAGACCATCAATGTTACATTAGACAAAAAGTTTCAGTCACAGTTTTAAATGATTCATTAAGTTTTCAAACCTTTAAGGCCTCGTGTGAAGAGATGAGTGATTCGTCCACGGTGATGACGACTCATTGCCGGTTATTGCAAACACATGATTGTGCGGCACAATCAGTTCGTGGTCTAACTCAGTTCACTTCTATTTATATAACACCAAATGAAAAACAGTTTGGATAACTTTTCCCTTAATGAATGAAATGATCATTTCAAAACTGCAATTTTGTATTTACTCTGGTTATTAATGCCTAACCTTAAAACTTAGCTTGATGATATAAAACATGCACGTGTGGCAAATATGAAAAAACGATGAAATCTGTTTCAAAGACTGATTGGAGCTAAACGTCGTCTCATCCTGACCCTACTGTTGTGCACATGTGCCCTTCAGGGCTGGCATACTGTCGACACCTGTCCACAGTGCGGACTCACCTGTCAGCTCTGGTCAACCACAACATCGTCCCCCAGACAGACCCTGCGAGGCATCCGGGGGCCTCAGCAAAGAGGTGTGGAGCAAGTACCAGAAAGACTGCAAGGTGGGTGCAGCCATTAATCCTACAGACCCTGCAACATAACGAGACTGCCCGTCCCTCCTCAGTCTGACCCCCCACCTCTCACACACAATGGCAAATTTAAAACCCAGACACCACAGCAAATTGCCAAGTCATCATCTTGTCAGGGATATTGATCAGCACTGACAGACACAGTAAGTTACGGCTGTTTTGTGCTGTGCAGGCACTCTGTGAGTTGTATTTACAGTAATAGTGAGGTCATCTGATCCACACTGTGAGAAACGCTGCTTCAGAGAATAATGAGGAGCAAAGCAAAGGATGACAGGACGTATCTGCTGTGCTGCATAAGAAACAACTGAGTTACTGCGTGGGAGGAGCTGCACTCATGCTTAACTAGCAGTTTATTTATCAGGGACAAGTACAGGAAAAAGTCCAGTTCATGTGCATATAGTTCCTGACACCAGCCCCTTGATTGGTTTAAAAAGTGCCCGCCATGAAGAAGAAGGTCCTAGGTTTGAATCCACCATGTGCCGGGGCTTTCTGTGCGGAGTTTGCATGTTCTGCTCGTGTCTCCTCCCACAGTCCAAACACACGCAGTTAGTGGGGTTAACGGGTGATTCTTGAGTGCCTGTGGGTGTGAATGTGAACGGAAGGAAATCGTGTCTCGCCAGGCGCAGTGGGCTGTACTTCCTCAAGTCAGATGCATAAAGCATGAAAAAGGCCAAGCTGAATAACTGTGTAAACTATCATAAAACCTTTGTTGCTCTTAGTTGCAGATTACTAATTCATGAAACTTTTGCCTAGAATCTACATTTTGTTTAATCTGAGCGTTGGGCTCTGTGGAAACCCAGAACCTACTAATGCCTGTGGTGATTTGCACACAGGCTCGGTTTAATGCATCCTTCCCAAGGATACTTAGACATGCAGACTGGGTTAGTTTGGGATTCAACCGCTGACCGGTCGACCTCCTGAGCGATGGAAAAAAATCCTAATAATTCCTCCCACCGGGATCTCAGTAACACATTCCAGAGCTTCAAGCACGGTCTGCTTTATCTAACTCCCAGTGAACTTCAGAGGTGCAAATAACAAGTAATAGATAAGAAGCTAAAAAGCTATGAAGACAACAGGAAAGGATACAAACAGCTGGAACAATATGATGAACAGTCCTGTCGGCGCTGACTCTTTCCTGAATGCACCCCGTTACACATGACAGCTGTATGCAGTGACACCTTTCAGTGAACAATAGTGTGTTTGTGTCCTGAACAGACGTGAACACGACTACATCGACTCGCCGCATTGTCCTGCTGGCCCGAACAGCTACTAGAGCATCAAACGCAGCTTAATCCTCAGCTAAAAACAGAGCCCAAGCAAATGCACTGGATGTCATTAAACTGTTAACAGCTGGAAATTGATTTTTAAATAAATTAATGAAATATTAAACTGTTCTGAAAGATTTTTACCAAACATGGTCGAGAAGCTATGAAGTCTGAGACGAGGACAAAAGGCTAACTATAATGATCCAGCGATACCCTTTCATCACTGCAGCTGAAAGTCCTTCACTCCTGCGTGGACAGAGTGAGGCTCTTCTAAGCAAAAGTCTTTCACTTATTGGATTTAAGTTCAAATCCCATGTTAGCTCTGCTTAAGCCAGCTGCATGTGTGAAGCTGCATGTGTCTTCTGAGCAGAGCCAGGAGGAGGAGAAAGCTCTGAAACTGAGTAGTGCAGTTAGAGCGGTCTGAAGCTGGCGTTTGCAGACCCCAGTGTGTGACTGTGTCCGTGCTCGGTGTGAGATCCACCATTAAAACGCAGCAGTTTCAGAGCAGCGTGTTCCTGCACGGTGCTGTAAACCAGCATTATTACCTGTTGTGTTTGTAAAGCACAGAGTCAGTTATTAACACAAAGCCAAAGCTGAACTTCGTGAGCCTCGGTTTCCTCATCCTGCACTCATATCATTCCACCTGCTGATGGAGCATATTAATTGAAAGTGGAGGATGGTGCACTGCTCCTGCTGTCTCCACTCTCTCCTTCGCTCTAATGAAAAGTTAATGAGTTTCAGTGAAATGAAGTCTCCGTGTGATACCATCGCAGCTATTAAAGCCGCCGTCCATCATCATCAGCTCCAACAAAGTCATCATTACTAATTTACACTCTATTCATATCTGTGTCGTTTATCTTCCGCTCTAATCTACGTCTACTCCCGTACGGAGCTCCATCACTCTTTCACTCCTTCCATTTGATGCACTTCCTCTTCCTCTCAGGCCTTTTCTTGTCTATTATGTTTCCTCTTTTTTGCCTACCTTCCTGACATGTGTGTGTGTGTGTGTGTGTGTGTGTGTGTGTGTGTGTGTGTGTGTGTGTGTGTGTTGTGTGTGTGTGTGTGTGTGTGTGCAGAACTACAAGGAGCTGGAGCTGCTCCGGCTGGTTTATTACGGTGGAGTGCAGCACGAAATCAGAAAGAGGGTGGCCTTTCCTTCTGGGACACTAC